CTTAAAGATCATCAAGTTCCAACCCCCCTGCCATGGGCAGGGACACCCTCCACTAGACCAGGTTGCCCAAAGCCTGGCCTTGAACCCCTCCAGGGACTATGTCATGCCCATGGGTCCATCAGGCACAAAGCCACTGCCAGGTCCAAGCTCTCACACGTTGCTGTCACCCAGCAGCATCGCTGCTGCTGCAGCAGAGCGAACAGTTGACAAATGGATTAACCCAAGGGGAGAATCCCATCTTTGTCCAAGGCAGCTGCACACTCCATCAATCACACATCACTTCCCAAGATTAGCCCTTCTCTACATGGTGTAGGTGTCTCATCCTGCCCTATGGGAATGGGAACATTTTAAAAATTAGGAGATAAAGCTGCTCTCAAGCATCCCAGCCTATGAGCCTGGGGGGTGACTAGGGAGCTCCAGGCAAGCCCAGCCAGGCTGACCCCCACCACTTCTGGGGCTGGACCACAGGTGTGTCTTCACACCACGTACGTGGCCTCCTCACATCATGCCGGTGCCCTGCTGCCTGCACCTCCTCTGCATGGTTATCCCGGCACGGGGTTTATGAGCTTAAAGCAAAGAGGTTTGTGGAACAATCAAAATAGTTCCTCCTAAGACAGCTAACGGGATTAGGCAGCTAAACCACGTGCTGCGCCGGCAGTTCTGGAGCCAACTCGGTAAAATCATGTCCTGCAGAAGACAATCTCCTGCCTCCTGACGTACGGCGAGCTCAGAGGTCGTTACTGCCTGCGTGTTACCCTGAAAGGTCAGCCCGAGGGATCAAGCCTACGTGTTACCATTTCCAGTGGATTGCATTGATATTAGACAGGACCCGCTCTCTGCAGAGCGGCGAATTAGACACATATTAATGGCTGATGTTACCACAATGACCATACAAAGTCTCATTTAAACCGCACAATGATAAATTGTGCTCAGTAATCCATTTAACGTCCCTTGAACTATGATGAAGGACAGACTTGCCAGATGCAGTAGATTAAAAGGCTTTGGCAAACTTTAAACCCCGGCACACCTCTCCAGTCCAGCCTCTTCCCCAGCCCCAGCCCCTCACATCTGTGTTTTGCCACCAGACAAGCTGCAGAAAGCCCTGGCCAATGCAACTGCCACAAGTGCAGCCAGCAAACAGCATCCACACACCCTGGCACAGAGCACGGCGGAGTCATTCTGAAAACCCACGTGTGAAATGCAAAGGAAGATGTTAATTGTAAGCAATGGGACACAGCAGAGAGCACCCAGCTGGAGTACAGCGCACAGGCAGTACTAGTGAGGACACCTCAGGCAAGGCACAGCGCAGAAGCACCTGGAGCACTTCAGGCTAAGTTAAACCAAAGTCCTAAGGCGTGAGCTCTTGAGGAGAGCCACACGCTGCCCACGGTGTGCGGCACATCGCTGAGTTCACACCAGGTTGATTTCTGTTTTTCTCTTTCTTTTCAGACTTGTCTGAGTCTCGTTGCCTCTAACCTGTAAATGTGACATTTTCCTGGTGCATTAAATCCTCAGCAAAATCACAGCTGGAGTGCGATCTGGCGAGTGTTCATCTGCACCCATCCCACAGCACCTCGTCAGAGATCTCATTCCAGCCCGGAGCTGCTGTCCAGCCCTTCATCGCACGGAGCTGAAGGCCACGGAGGACCAGCAGCCCTCCCTCCCGGGCCAATCGCTCCAAGGGCACGAGCGGAATGTCTTTAGAGAGCCCTCACTCGCTATTTGCAGTTTGGATGTTCCAAGAGCTGCCAGGCTAAGTTTAGAGTCCCAGATAAGCGTATCAGCCCTGCCACCCAACACCAAGGGCGTTGGGAACGTGGCTAACGGCCAGGACTCAAAGCAGCCCCAGTTCCAACAATCAAATATCAAGGCAGCAATTCCCAATTTGGTCACGCAGGAAAAAAAAAAAATAAATGTATTGCTTAGGAATGGCTCAAACATCACAGGATTTTCTCTAAACCAGCAGTGAGATGAAATATCACATCAAACCAAACCCAGCCCTACAATCACTGCAAGTCTCCCCTGGGACCCGTGAGCGTGTTTCGGGAGCGGTGCGGCCGTGACAGTGACAGCATTTGCAGGACATCGGCGTTGCCCCCGGGCCATGCCCAGGAGCCGCGGTGAGGCAGCAAGCCGCTGTGCCAACACATGCACGTCTGTCAGGGCTCAACGGCATCCTGCTGACATGCACATCAGCCTAACATGAGTACAGCTGAGGGCAGCCCTTAAAATGGTGATATCCCTGCTAGTAAAAGAATTAATGGGATCTGTGCTCATGGTAAAGTGGGAGTACTGGGAGAGCTGGGCATGAGAAATAATGTTTTAATATCTATGCGATAAAGGAAAGTAAGGGTGAGTACTGGGAGAGCTGGGCATGAGAAATAACGTTTTAATATCTATGCGATAAAGGAAAGCAAGGGTGGGGGGGAGAAGGTAAATCTGCATTTAGCAAAGATTTGATAATGGGTTGAAAAAAGCCAAATATCACTCAAAAGAGAAAGAGAAAAAAAAAAAAAAAAAGTGGCATCCCAATTCCTGCCAAGTGCTTTTGAGCCCCTGCGCTGCATGCGCAAACCTGCCCCAGCCCCAGCCCTGCCCCTGGAACGTTGCGGCTCCAGGCAGCCGGCCGCGGGCACGGCCGGGGGTCTCCGCAGCTCCGCGGTTTGCTGTCGGAACAAGTTTCCTTCGCATCTTCATCTCCTTCGAGTGAACTCCAGGCAGCACTAAATGGAGAGCCTCACCCATACAGAGCAGTTAGCGCAGCACCGAGCTTTACCCCGTGGAAAACGGCGTCCAAGGGACGAGTGACACAAGTGACCCGCAGCGGGGGGGTTCATTGGCCAAGCTCCCCTCTGCCAAGGCACGGAGGTTTGGCAGCAGCGGGGCCAGGACCGGCTGAGATCAGAAAACACTTCCCTGCCATCGCCTCTTCCTGCCCTCCTCTCCCTTCCCTCGCTCCCCGCCTCCAGGAAAAGGTTAAAAAACAAAGTTCTTAAATTGCATCCAGCAAAACAAGCCCAGAAAAGCGGCGAGTGGGAGTGAGGAGCAGCAGCACCCTGGAAGGGCGACAGGCAGCAAGCAAACCCGCGGGGGCAGCAAAGCGGGGCCGGATCCGGCAGCTCCCGCCGCAGCCCCCAGCCCTCTCGGGGAGGCACCAGCACCCCCCCAGCTTCATATCCACATGGGACACCCTAAAAATGGCACACGCAAAAGTTTTCTTTTACAAAAAGTTCATGTCCAAAATAGTCAGTATTTCGGTCTTTTATTAGCAGCTACTTTGTTTGGCAGAAAATCCCCAAACAAACCCGCAATTCTGCATCTCCCCGCGCGGATGCAGAGCAAAGAGCACGGTACCTGCCCGACACGCTCGCAGACGGTGCACAAAGGTCGGCGATTATTGCTTTACTGCACCGTCCTACCGCCAGCAACAAACAACAATACCTGCAAAGAGGCTCTCCCCCCGCCGGCAGCACAGACGAGATCACAGCTGAGGTGAGGTTAATTAGTGCATTTTTTTCAAGCCAAGGAATGGAATGGTTGCCCCATGATCATGACCCAAGTTCAAAGCAAAGGGAGGCAGGAAGAGGCAGAGGGACTGGAATGATGTCTTCTGACCCAAGCGGGGGTTGAACACTTCTTATCGGAGGGAAAGTTGAGACTGGAGTAGAAAGGCAGAAAATAAAAAAATTAATCTATAAAGGAGAAGCAACACCAGAGAGCTCCACGGCCTAACTAGGTTTGTCACTAAATTAAATCATCTTTAAAGTTGCAATAAGTTAAAAAAAAAAATCTTTAAATAATTCTTTCTGGCTGGTTATGGTGGAGGGGTCCAAGAAGGACAAACACAGATTGCGCCCAGGTAAATCAGACCACGGCGCAGCCTCTGCACTGCAGACAAGGCTCTTGTCCCAGCAAACGCGGCTTTCCCCGCTGAGGAAGCGGAGGTGCCGGGCGGGCAGCTCCAGGAGCACAC